CCTTAGCAACTTAGTCAGAACAACCAAGAGAAACCCCTGTGGGATGACCTGATGAAGACTGGTACAAGTGCTTCAGTGGCAACTATAAGACGTGCACTGAATAAACAAGGACTTTGTGGCCGGACTCCAAGACACACTCCACTCTTGACCACAAAGAACATCAAAAGTCGACTAGAATATGCCAGGAGGAATTTGGATAAGACTACAGAGTTTTGGGAGACAGTTCTATGGACTGATGAAACCAAACTGGAACCGTTTGGACATATTGGCCAGCGGTATGTCTGGCTTGCCAAAGGCCAGGCTTATGACCAGAAGAAACATTTTTCATTTGAACTTCAAAGTTAAGTAAACTTCTGTTGTCAAAATAACTCAAATATGTATCAATAAATGTTTTCTGCTGTTTGAGTTTTTTTCTCATTTATTGTCATTATCTTTGCCCCACATCACTATAATGTCATTGAGGTGATGGGGTTGAATATTTCTGATTGCAACTATAAATGTGATAATCTCTGTGCCTCTGCTTCAAATGCGTATAACAGGATATATCAAAGAAAATAACAACAACAAATATAGGTTCTGATGGCTGAATATGAAACTCCTTTCCTCAGTCTGAATTATGATATCATGATGAATAAGAATCCTGCATTACTGTATGTAACTAACTACAGCTAACAAACAGATTAACTCACCATGCTGGATATCTTTCATGTCAAGATGTAGGGAGGACATGAGTATTCCTACTGCCTGAGAACGCTTGTTGTTTAGAAGCTTCACAACCTAAAAAAACACGTAAATCGGAGTTTAGATTCAACATTTAATGTTAATGAAAGCATTTTAACAGGACTGAAAGTCTAACGGCTCACTGCAAAGCAAATTATACCCCACATTATTAAAGTGTAGGTTCGGACAAATATACCAAAGCTTCAACCATTTGAAAGAGCTGGAGGCCCGGGATAGTGGTCAGAGCTTCCATATCTATGAAGTAAGAAGAAGTGTCTTAAACATGCATTCTATTTTTTTATTTATTTAACCTTTATTTAACCAGGTAAAGTCCCATTGAGATTAAAATCTCTTTTTCAAGGGAGTCCAATGTAATGTAATGGCCAGCAGAGGACAGCTCCATTGGCTGCAAAAAAGAGCCATTGTATTGAGCTTTATGGAGAAATTACCTTAATTCTCACTTGATTTATTAGCTTAGTTTATTTATGAGTTTATGGTCTCAATCGTTAGTTTTAAGTCTCCTCCCATACAACATAAAGATCATTTTCTAAATTGTTTTGTAAATTGGTATTATTACAATTATTGAGAGTAAAATAGATGTCATTATCAGTCAGTCTGTGCAGCGCATTGCATGAAACTCAGATCAAACTGTCAAACTAGGCGGTGCTAATAAATTTTTAATTTGAAGATATGCATTGCATATTTGTCTTACAATGTCATACACAATTGCAAGCATTCTTTATACAACAATATATTGTATGTATGATATAGATTTTATAAATGATCATTATCTATTGTGTAGGATTTAGTGCCATCTATCAGTGTATTACAAATTACAACACACTTATCTCACCCTCCTGTTCCAAGTGTGTTGGAAACCACGATATCACTGAAGCTCACAAAAAAAACAAATGGCCCTAGACTGCCTCTAGAGTGGTTGTCCGTTCTTGGCCTACTTAACAATGAAAAAGTTCCAGAAGGTTTTCCTTGTCACTATTTCCAAGTGCTAATGGTGGACACTGTTGAAATAGTTTTATAGGAGTAGGGTTTTGACCTACTCAATATGTAAAGTGTCCTGAGATAACTTCTGTTATGATTTGACACAGAATACAATTTAGTGATTAAGACAACAGGCGTTCAACATTTTTCCAAGCCAAGGCCCCTACAGCTAAGAGAGACAGAGCAGTGACTCCCTATTGTCTCAAAGTGCCTATGATTGGGTGTTGACCATATAATTGTGACAATACATATTGGACATATATGTAAAAACACACAGACCTGTTTGGCCTTAGACTTGGTGATTGTGTCAGAGAGCGGCTGTTTCTTCTCCTTCACCGCCGTTTTGGAGAACAACTCTACAAACTCTTCAAAGTCCACATCAGGCTCCTCAATATTCTCCCACACCAACACAGAAGAGGGCTCCCTGAGAGCACAAACACAAAAGAACATTTACAGATGGTAGGAGTCAGCAGTAAAGTATGATTATCTAATGATTATATCTTATATATGCAGTGTATATACAGTGTGTATAAATATATATATATAATTTGTCAAAATACATTCTGAGCATCATAGAGTACTACACGGTTTTACAGTTTTGAAGAATTTGCTTTGTATGTAAAATGTATAACAACTTTGTATATTACATCTTATTCTTCCTTTCACATATATTTTGAAACTTTTAGAAAAAGATTCTAATATTCAAAGTGTATGTGTTTTAGGCCAGATAGCTCCAAAGACTGATGTTGGTCAGTTGGAAATGCTGTCCCCCAATTTAATCATGTGAGGTACAAGAAACTGCACAACCAGTGGTGGTCACTAAAGGCTGTACTGCTTTTAGACACCGATCCACCCAGCTGTTCCATGATAGCCATACACAATTAGGGGAAATAAAGCATTTCACTAAATTATGTCTTTCATACAAACATTTGTTCTTTCTGAATTTATTTGTCATTATTGGTGTTTGGTACCTTATGAGAAATCTAGCCCACTCTGAAAATCACCTTTACTTCATTCTTAAAACAATGTAAATGGTTTGGCATGTCATATAGTCATATATTGTTAACATCACTGCCCAACTGTACCTTATTGTCGGACAGTTTAAATGCAGTCAAGGATGCAGACTCAAAAAAGTCTACTGCGGCACAAAATATTCATGTATGATCCCCATCCTGAAATTAATATTTTGTGCAGCAAAATGTTCAAGAGGCTCTAAAATTAAATTATAGTGGTGACATTTGTTGAAGATTTACTTCTTCAATAGTAACAATGGCCTTGGGGCTGAATGCCAAAGACATAGCAGATAGTTAAATATTAAATTATTAAATCTTGAGAGACATTGTTGCTTTGGGTTTGTTCATGCGATTTGATTAAATAAGAAAAACTAACCATATCTTTTATGTTATGTTATGTGTTTTAGTATGACACCATTAAAGATTATAGCACCAAACTCATATCAGATAGGGTCTTTGGACTGTGAACTGTGCTACATTGGATGTTTTCACAATTTCCTCCACTATGTAGTATCTATGATGTATGGGCCCAAAAGGTAAATTGACAAAATTCAAACCACATCATCTTGAGGCAATTTTGGCTACACCGTCTTTACTTTTTGGTGTGCAGCTGGATCCTGGTCCAGTAGAGGGGCTTCATGGGTCTGGGAGGCTCCACGACAGCCTTCCTGGCTGGTTTCTCCTGGGCCAGACCTAGAGCGTATAGCCCCAGTGGTAAAGGAGGAGGCAGGGAGCCCAGAACCCCTGAAATAGCTGGGGGAATACAGATGGCTCCTGGTGGAGGAGGGGGTGGAGGGGGCCCACAGCCTCTACCACCTGGTGGAGGAGGAGGTAGGCCACCTATTCCTGGTAATGGAGGAGGAGGTGGAGCAATGCCAACAAGGAGAGGAGGATGAGGTGGTAGGGGTGGTGCAAGGCCACTGGGAAGTGGGGGAGGAGGAGGAGGAGGTGGGGGTAAAGGAACTGCTGAACCAGGAGGTAATGGAGGTGGAGGTGGAGGAGCTGGCATTGAAGATCCTGGTAATGGTGGAGGAGGTGGTGGTGGTGGTGGTGGAGGAGGTACTGCTCTTCCTGGAAGAGGAGGTGGATGTGGAGGAGGATGCTGGAGCTGACATGAACACTGGAAGCCATCCTGCCTGGGTGGAGGTTGCAGCAAGTCATTCAGTCTACCCAGCTCAGTACAAGGCACTTTGAACTTAAAGCTGTCATCCATGGGTGAGGTCTGCACAGACTTGGCCTCCAGGCAGCCCAGAGCTGGGGCTGCTTCAGTCTGTAGGTGGGCATCACACACCGCCCTCAGCAGGCTCTCCTCTCCTCCACACTCCCTGTCTGTGGTGGAGGTCTTGGGTTTTATACTGTCTCTGTCCAGCAGAGGGGACTGTCGCTCCAGTTCAGCAATCTTAGTCCTGAGGTCTTCTATGGTTTGTTCCAGCTGTTGGATTACATTGACATGTTTTTCCTTGAGTTTTGTTGAAGGAAGGACACATTCCTCCTGCAAATAAGAGAAAACCAGGTATGGCAAAAATCAGAGATGCTCTTTTTTGTAAAATGTGTTTATTGGAATCAACAAAGGAAGAATAACTTCCCAGAAAAAAACTTTTATTGTTACAATTACCCCATGAAAATGAAAATAATTTTACAATTTATGAAAATAAAGTCATGATATAGTAGTTAGTCTCAAACTAAAACCTTTCCTTTCCCAAATTTTAGTCTCTTAATACAAATTCATATACGTATGTGCTCTTCTAAGAAAATACCGGAAAATATTTTACACACTGTGGGAAAAAGAGAATGAGCTATCATATTCTCTATGTACCAGTCTGTTAAAATAAAGAGTTTAGCCTTAGGCTTTAAAGTGTGTAGGATTTTGGAAGCTCTAATGGCAGTAATGATATGTAATATTCATATAAGTATCTTACATAATAAAAATATAAAAAATTAAAATAAGAACTGTGTTTTTGTTACCTTAGAATGAGCCCTTCATATCTACATAAGCCATTGCCCTCTTCTATGAGGAGTATGTTTCACCGCCATGTTTCTACAGGAGCCCAAAATGCACAAACCAAACACTGGTTTTAGAGAGGGCATTTGACCAAAGTAGGTTCTACACGCTCGGGAAGGGAGGATTGGTTGCAATCTGCAACCACACCACTAGATGCCACTTAATCCTACAGACTGGTCCGTAAAGTAAAGTAGGGTAAATTAAAGTGACTGACCTCTTGGCTCTCTTTCTGTTGTTGCCTCAAATCCAAGATGGCTACATGGTGGTCTGAACAAAAAGACACATAAGCAGGTCAGCACAGTACAGTAAAAGAGAGATACTTCTTTTAGAAGGTTCATAAGTCTCATGTAGGTAATGGTGAGCATATGAAAGTATGAATTTAGATATTACAAAGTTTGATTAACAAATAGTATACTCCTCCACAGTACAGTCTAGCATTACATGGGATTAAGTGATGGGTATTTGACTTAGTACCATTTCCCAGTGATATAGGCAACAGTCAGTAGGAGACAAATCATCACATTTTGTTTTGGACCAAACTAAATTGCAATTGTAATCCAATCTTGTGTTGTTGAATATCTGCTTGAGCCAATGACAGACGGGTAACAATTTAAAGGAAAAACTAATAAAAAAAACGAACTTAATTTGTAACTTAAGACCAGGTTCAAAAGCAATATTTTGCTTTGGCTTTGTTGCAGTTATAACCACACCCAACAGTGATGCCACTGGGTCCTTACTGCAGTAAAGTGAGAGGCTAAACCACTGCAAGGCAGTTTTACAATGTGATCCAGTGATACAATGACATACTAGAATTTGTGACAACCATGTAGCGATGAACTGGAATACACATAATTTCCTGCAGTATTTTCTATTTATTGATAAACCCAACAGAACAGATAGTGACAATATTACAGTAATTGTTGTAACAACATCAATACTGTACTTGTGGTTATAGCATGCTCTTTTGAAAGGGAACTTTCAAAAGGGAACTAGTTCACATCTCAAACTACAACAAATAACAAAATACAATAACATAAATAAAAAGAGCAATTTGGATGTTTTGTATTTTTCAGAAAACATGCAGCAATGCATGTTATCAATCAATGCATCAATACGGAGCCCCTAAACAGATATAGGGGGAAAAAAAAAGAAGAAATGTTTCTCGTGAGCACCAGAAAGTATCTCCTGCTCACAAGAAACCTTAGTTGACAAGGACCACAAGACAGACCAGTGTCTCTAGCGCCCCTAGTGGCAGTAACCACTGGTGAAAATTGAGCATTGCCATTTCACATCAATCTGAATATAGGAGGGAGTACAAGTAGGGCTTTATTCTAGTGAAGTTTAATGAAAGTGAAAACACTAGTGCATGTTTCATTTGGAGGCCAGCAGTTATACACCACCAAATGGGGCACTCCACTCACCATAGAGTATTATTTCAAGTTATAATATAATCAAATAGGCAAAAGAAGCTTCACCTGGGGCTTAATGGAATCTACAAGCCTTTGCAAATTCTCAGGCTTTGAGTCAGCAAAAAAATACACAATATACATAATTTATTACTTACCTTGATTGTCTTCTAAAACTTTCAAATCATGAAAAAGGAGAAACCCCAGTCAGATGAAGATACGAAAGGGGAAAAAGGGGGAAAAAGAAACACACACACACACACAAAGGTCAGGATCCTTACATAAAACTTAAGGAGATCAGGCATCAGTGAGTTTTAAACACTTTCTTATATATAAGGACTGTACTACCATTCAAATAACCCTCAGACCACCTGAACCAACAAGGATCATTAAACAGTGAGCCTGTCATGTCTAACTTTATGGTGTCTGTAGATGGCATGTAGTTTAATAGCTGCAATAAATCCTATCTAGAGCCAGTGTTTGGTTTGTCCCTTTTGGGCTACTGTAGAAAAACAGAGGTTCAACATAGCAGCATAAATGTAAGGCATAGACAAATATAGACGGTGGATACATACACAAAAACATAACAATTCTTTTTTTAGGTGATTATATACATTAATGAAAATATTAGTTATGCATGTTATATTCCATTTCTGCCAATAGACCCTTCTAAATGTTACACATTGGACTTTTAAAGGAATAGCTCAAAACCTTCGGAAATATACTAATTACATTTCTGAGTGTGATAAGACGATCAATACCAATCTAATGTCTGTGTGTAGCAAAAAGGGGCAGACAGATAGATACACTGTTGTTGCTAAATGCACAAACTTTCAAGTTTTACACAAAGCTGTTGCTCAGGAGGTAGAGCGAGATGTTCATCAGAAGGTTGGTGGTTTCAATCCCCAGCTTTTCCCACGCATGTCAAAATGTCCTTGAGCAAGATACTGAACCCCTAAACTGCTCTTGATGCTGTGCATCGGTGCTTCAATATATATTAATAAAGTTTCTGTTTGTGATGGCCTTTGCCATCACTGTGTGAATGGGTGTGGCATGTAGTGCACAGCGCTTTGAGTGGTCGGAAGACTAGAACTAGACTTTATCATTTAACTCAGGACACTAGCTATTTTGCAACAGTAAATGCTTAGCCTTATACGGTAATATGGAGTATATTGTAGAAAAATCTGTTAGTATGCAAACTTTTATCTGGACTTAAGTCTAAACACTGAAAGACCTGCTGTATTATAAGCCCTGTCCACTAGCCGGTCTTTGATATACATATAAAGAATGTGTAAGTGTTGTTCTCACCTGCCTCTGTGGATTTGAGTCCAGTCCAATCGTCCCCGCCTGGCCTGACTGGAGGCCAGGGGCCCTTCAGCTGCCCTGGTATTTTCCCCCCAAGAGGATCCAAGGAGTGAGTCGGTTGATTAACTGCTGCCCATGTATAAAGCTGGTCATGCTGGGGAAACAAAACTCTTTTAAAATTGTTTATAATTCATTTAAGTTGCACATACATTCATTCCAAACCGTGATAGTAGAAAAGGGCCGAGAGTGCAAATACATCTGTGGAATCAGAATTCCATACTGGCTTTTCAAATCAAAAAGTCTGAGGTATGGAAACAAAATCTAGACATTAACTTTAAAAATGCCCTGATAAATGTGAAATGATGGGAAGTAATAACTGTAAAAAGGTGATTTACAAGTTGAAGTTGACAGGTTTATAATACCATGTTATTGCATGTTTAAAATTCTACCAAAGTTTAAGCACAAATCCCCTATATATAATGGTAAATGGACCTGTACTTGTATAGCACCTTTCTAGTCTTCTGACCACTCAAAGCGCTTTTACACTACGTCCACCATTCACCCTTTCACACACATTCACTCAGCAATGGCAAAGTCCATCGAACAGAAACTAACACGCACACTCACGCACGCTCACATTCACAGACATTCACAGGACCGATGCTATGCATCAGGAGCAATTTGGGGTTCAGTATCTTGCTCAAGGATACTTCAACACGTGGCAGGAGGAGCCGGGGATCGAACCAACAACCTTCCGAATGGGGGCGACCCGCTCTGCCTCTGAGCCACAGCCGCCAATATGTAAATGAACAGGACTCATTAAGAACATATATAAAACACTCCCAACAAACATAACCTAAGTAAAAAGTTGTTGAATATGTGGGTTAGGTTTGACTACATACATCAAACTTGGCTGATGCTGTGGAAGTGATGTGCACAGTGCTGCCTCCCAGCTGCTCTCTAAAGCAGTCAGTGAAAGGCAGCAGGAGACCCATGGCCAAGATCCTGGAGCAGAGCCTCTCAGCATCTTCTGGTCCTCCTGCTGCTGCTGCTGCTGTAGGGAAGAGCTTCTCCAGGAGAGTTCGACTGCAGCCAGTAATGAAAACTAGGCTTATGTGACTTGGGTTATGTGAGAACTTGGGAACCTAATCAGTCTATATACTACCTAAGTCCTGAACCCTAAAAAGTACTTTTGAGGTAGGGTCATCATTTTAGTTTTTTCCTGTTTATAGTTTGAAAACTTCCTTCATATTCCATTATTGCTTAAAGTTTCTCTGCCTGCTTTGATTTAGGATACACTGAAAATAATGTCTGAAAGACTTCGTTTGTATTATGACCTTACATTGACGTTCTTGGGAGCTACAAAGCTATAGCAGCTCTACGGGACTGTTTTGAATACACAGACAAACACATGTTTAAAGAAGCTGCCACCCAGAAGAACC